TTAACACGCATTATTTAATCAAAATATCCAAAGAAGTGCATATCTGTACCTAATTGGCTGGTTATTGCAGAACTTTGGCTCTTGTGAATACGGCAATTTTCTCATTGTCTTCTCCTTTTATGCGATAGCCCACGTTTTCAGGAAGCTCTTCAGGATTGATCTTCATATACACATGGTGGTACGGCACAGAAAAACTGAGAACTTCCTCTGGCCACACGAGATCAGTTGCGGGTAGCTTTGACATAAGTAGTGAGACATAAGCTTCTCCGACCCCATCATCAACGTCTATCATAATTAACACATAATACGAGCTTTCTGTCCTTCTGTGCTCAGCACCGATAAGTCCCCTTCAGCAATGGCAGGTCCCCAACAGTGCGATTGGCCGATCTGTGGACCAAGGCCTAGCTCGCTACACGGCTTCGTTTATATTCGGCACTTTACCCTAACAGTTACGCTCCATGACGTGGCGGAATTAAATCGTAATGGAGCTTTCAATAACCGCGTTTTTTCTTCGGCCGTTCAACGTGAAACGCGACCGTGTCCTTAAGCAAAGACATTCCCCCGGAAGTGATTTCGAAGACTATCTTCCAATTGTCAGGACCAGGGAGAAACGGTGGTTGAATATCTTCAAACCTTTCATTTTCACACTTGTAATAGCCCTGCGGGTAGAACATGGTGTCACTTATTCACAAAACCTCTGACTGTATGTGAATTTTTCGCATTGTTACTGGTATCACGCACTCATTCAATGCATTTGTACTCACCAGAACCGGACATGAGGAGGGGAACTTGTAATACACTTTTAATGATCTAAGTATAGGCCTGTTCTCCTTGCGCAAGTACTCACACCAGTTGGTGCGATACTTCACGGAGCTTTGAATGTACCTTTTCTGGTGCATCTCGAAAAGACTGATATCAAACTGTTGAACAGACACAAACTACTATATCCGTTCACTACACTGAGAATCCAAACGCTATGAGAAGAGCGCCAATTGGTGCAATGCAGATGGCATAGGACATTTTCGAGACGCATTGCACGTATGGTGCAATATCTCAGTGCATTGCACACCACGTGCTATACTCATAGCGTTTGGAATCTCAGTGTGGGGAGAGTGCAAGATTAGATCGAACCTGCGCTTACCACGGTGTCATTTGGCAATATATTTATGACGTCTACGAAAGAGGAGACCCGCGAGTGCCCCGTCTTGTCCTTCTGACGGAGAGCCATGCCTGTGCGCTCGCCGAAGTAGTTGTGGTCGTAGGTACTCTCGACGCTGTCGAACTCCACCACATAGCTCTATACGGTGGCAGTTGGGAGTTAAGACAAACTCAACAGTGTGCATGACACACCCCACCTGGAGCGTGCCTGCACTTTTAAATGAAATGTGTAAAGCACACAGCTGTGAGAGTGAAAGTAGAATCACACATGTGCTTCGGAAAGCATACTTCTATCAATGCGTGTGAGCTTGACGAAGCATGCATCTGTAAGTGTGCTTGGACAAGCACGCATCAATAGAAGTGTGCTCGCCCTGGCACACTCCTGTAGATGTGTGCTTTTAAGTTCACTCCCACAGCTGTGTAGTAAGCACACGATCTAGTAGTGTGAATGCAAATTACGCTTAGCCGTAACTTGTAAGTGTGTGCCTGAATGCGCTCTCGCTCCCAACTTGGAAGCGTGTGCCTGGATGCACACTATGCCTACCGTAAACCGGGTAACTTGGAACAATATTTCACGTAATCTGGGCCGTGTGACTTCATAACTTCTTTCATGAACCCCAATCCTATCTGGACTTTCACGTGACTTGGTTTGACACCCATATATTTTTTTTTTTTTTGGGGGGGGGGCTTGGTTCTGAAAAAAGTAGGAGGCACGGGCCTCCAAAGTTGTCTCTAGTTAGCCCACTATAGGAAGTTGCCAAAATTGTGGGTCTTTTAGGCTCCTAAAAAAGGGGAAAAAATATCTCGTTCTATTTTTTTTACTATTTTTCCTGTGTTCCAGTTGTCAATCTAGACGCGTTTCCGAAGTAGGCCAGGATTTTCTCTCACTTTGATTTTTCCCCTATACAGAACTTGAACATGGGAAGATGGCACGGAAGGTACCGAACAGGGATCCTTAACTTCACTTAACATTTAACTGACACTGCTTTTATAACGTAACACAAGACAGTGTTCGCTAAAGGTTAAGGCTACGGACTTATGAAAGTACTTGCAAAAGTATATCCACACAAATTCGAGACATAAAAAAATAACCTACCCTTTTGAAAAGATGTTAGAAGTTAAGGGTATAATAACTTTAACTCATATCATAACGTTATGATTCCCTTATCAGGTAAGTTAAGGATCCCTGGTACCGAAAATGTGCATGGCACGGAAGGTTCATCGTTTCGGAACCTAGGTCCCCCCTCAAAACCACGGCTATATTTAGAACGTTAAAATGATGGGGTTGAAGGATACTACAATCATTTGGGTGTCGAGAGGACGGATTTCGAGTACTAGGGCTGACTTAACACTTCTCTAAAATTTTAAAATTTACGAAAATTAAAAATTTGTTATTGATCTGCTTGGCCCTAGCCCACCATGCGAGCGCTCGATCGCCTTTCCAAATAAGAATGAAAAATGGCATATTTCGTCAGTTTTGACCTCTGAATGTGCCTCGCTAGGTGGCAGCTTAAAAGAAAAGCAGAAATTTCTCAAGTTACCCTTCGTGGCCCAAGTTACCCCGGTTTACGGTCATTCGCAAACGTGTGATAGGCATATGCACAGTCTTCCCAGCAGTATTGCTGGTCGTCAGAATCAAAACCAAGTCCCCACTGTTAGCAAAAAAGCACAACAATCCTACAAGAATACCTGGCTATTTTTTATGAGGAAAAAATTTAACTTCCATAGGTCAGTAATTGTTGTGCAAAGTACAATGGCACCGGCACCGGCATGGCGAGTGCAGTCCTACAGACCTCGACAGGCCTCGTCGTTCTTTGTAAACCTCTCCTTGTACTTATCTCTCACAGTTTTCGTTGTACTCTTGTTGTACTATTCCCAATTTCTCTTGCAGTGTGGGATGTTTTTACAGTTTTCGAATGGGGTGGGGTGGCGGTTCGTCACCTTGTTCAAAGCGTGGAGCTGGAGCAGCAGTTCGGCCAGCGCGATAAGGACTGCGACGCAGCAGGGCTGCCACGGCGACCGCATCCTGCTGTCTGTGCCGCGAAAATGCAGCCGCTGGTCGTGCTGGCGTGTTCCAAGGCACATGACATGAGAAAGGAACGGAAATACACAAAGGAGCCACACACGAGCGTTCGGTTAGCATCAGGCCTGCGCTGCATACGAACTGTCACGCTGTCACATGGCCAAGATCGAGGGGCAAACAACTCCGTCAAAATTTGTACACCGTTATTTCAAATTCGAGTTATTTCATTGTCATTTTAACGTTATTTCAAGGGCATTTCAATGTTATTACGCGTTACTTAACCGTTATTTCACCGCCATTTCACGTTATTTAAAGGAAAATGTAGACCAAAATTCAAGTTGTTTGTCCCTTGGCCAAGATTAAGGGGGTGACCCTGGTGAATCTTTTCACCAATCTTTCCCCCCCCCCAGAAAGTTGAAACTTTGCTTTATTATTAGGTCCATCATGGTGAGTTCCCACAACAAAATTCAATTCAAATTGTATTGAACAGTCTGAGGAAAGTGCCACTTCAGTGTTTTGGAGCGTTGGGGAAAAATCTTGCTGTCTTTCATTGGGATGGATAGTTTTGAACCTTTTTGGGTTACCCTGAAAATATATAAAAGACATTTTGGTGACGGAATTTTCAAATTCAACTTCTGTCTTAAAATTCAAATTTTAACATTTCAAAAAAGGGCATTTTTTGCCTTTTATCCAAACTTTTTGTGTCTGTGGAGAAAAGTAGGGCTCATGAAGAGAAATCATCACAGTGATGACAAACGCATGCTTGACGCCGTGTAACTTCATGCGTCAAGCATGCGTCAGTAAGTGTGTACTTGCAAGCATGCATTTCTAAGTATGTAAGGGAGGGTGGGGCAGTTTGAAACAGGGGCAGTTTGAAACAAACACCAATATAAAAGCAATGAGGACTCCTGCAGGAAATGTGAGTGTGCACAATCTTCTATTTTCATGATCTTACTGATTTGCGATCGACACGGTCGTCAACGGTGCACTTTAGTGGTCTTGAATAAAAGGTGAAACTTCGGTAACATTGAAATTGGCCTAAACTTAAATTTCTAAGTCACAGGAGTTTCCGTCTGGGTTTCGCTAGTAAGCGATCATCTCCCGCGCTTTAAATTTATCTTTTAGTACCATATTAGGCAAGCGTAACGCACCCTCGGACACTGACGTAGCCCTCACCAAGTCCGGCGGGGAGCAGCACAACTGGAATGGTGCCCTCTGGGGCAGTTTGAAACAGAAGTGGGTGGGGCAGTTAGAAACACAGCAATATCACTGGAAAAAACGTTTTATATTATGGAAAGCGAGCATAATGATGGAAGTTCGTAATTCCAGAAGGCATCAATGGAGACGTTGTATGTTTGATCCGTGACTTGCATCAAAATGCAATATTTATGGACTATTGCATGTTTTAAACTTTGCGGGCGGGAAAAGGCCTTTATTTCAACTCCAAAACAGTAATGTGAGTTAAGGCCAGGGACAGGTGAAAAAATGATCTCAGAAACTGCTGGTCCAAAACTTCTTATTTTTTGTAAAAAATCTTACCCTAATAAAAAAACTATTTCCCCCAAAATCCCATCCCATAATATCAAGCGGTTCCTGAGATACAGGTTTTTTTATAATTTTGTAAGTGTTTTTTAAAAAAATTCCTGTGCGTTTCCATTTTGGTTTATTGACCTGACCGACATTTTTTTTTGTTCGTCTAATTTCAAAGAACAAACGCAAGTGACAAATTTTATTTTCCGGCACTGATAGAAAAATACCAAACTTTCAACTTCGACATTTTTCAAAAACCAAAGATTTTCCCTTTTTTTTTTAAAAACCAATATCCAAAACATCCAAAACCATACTTCTGGGTGGAATATACAAAAACTGTCACTTGCGTTTCCTCGCAATAACCTACTGAGTCAGTGGAAAAAATATCATTGACGACACTTCAAACTGTATGCGCACAGGACCATTCAAATGTTGAAAAAATGACTTCGGAGAAAAGGGCGTTTAAAGTTTGGTGACAGATTTTGATGGATTTTCAGCCAAAAAAAATCTTCTTGTCGTGAAAGGTTGACCTGGATATTTTTCACTTCTTCGATTCATTTTTTAAAGATACCAGCATGCACAACTGAAAATGTCCATTACATTATCATTGGCAAGCTTCTTAAGCATGCATTTCACTTAAATTGATCAACAATGAAAAAGCCAAGTTTTAGCGACTTCTTAGATAAAAAAAAAAAGTGGATTACAAACGGGTAAAAGGTTTTCCCCAATTTTTGTCAATTTAAATTGGGTTGGGGAAAATTTGGGCAACCCCCAAAAACTTTTCAAACAATAAAAACAAAAAAGGGGGCCAAAAAACCCGGGGGGTTTTCCCCGGGTAATTTGTTTTGTAATTTGGGCCTTCCCCCGCCCCCCAAGGTTAGGCACCCGTTGCCAACCTTAAATGGGCCAGGACCTCACGGGGGGGTCGGGGGGTTTGGAGGGGGTTCTTGGGCCCCCAAGGGGGCGGCAACCTTTGGCAAATGGCCCGGGAAAGGGGGCCGCGGGCCAAGGGGCTGTCATTTTGGCCCCCTTTTTTTAAAAAATGGGACCCAAAAAGGCTTTTTCTTTTGGAAAAGGGGGGAAAATTTTTCCCGGAAATTTTCCGGGGGGAAAAAAAAAATTTAAAAAAACCCCGGGAAAAAAAAAATGGTTATTTTTCCCACGAAAAAACCCCTACAGGTTTTTGCCAACATAGGGGAAAACCCGGGTTCCAACCGAAAAACGCAAAAAACCCAAAATTAAAAACCCCAAAATTTTTCCGGGAAAAATTTTTTAGACTTTGGGGGCCCACTTTTTCCATTTTGGTGAAAATTTTCCCCAGGGAAAAAAACGGCCTGTTTTTTTTAAAATTTTTGGAAAAAATTTTCCCCTTTTAATAATTTTTGAACTAGGCATGCTGGAATCTTCTTAAAATGAATCGAAGAAGTGAAAAATGTGAAGATGAGCCTTTTACCAAAAAAATTTGAAAAAATTTTTTAAAAAAAAAAAAAAAAAAAAAAAAACCCCAAAAAACCCCCCCCCAAAAAATTTTTTTCTTAATTTTTTTAAAATTTTTTTTCCCAAAAATTTGGGGGGTTTTTTTTAAAGGAAATTTTCCCAAAAAAAGGGGGGGAAAAAAAAAAAAAAAAAAAGGGTTTTTTTTTTTTTTAAAAAAAAAAAGGGGGGAAAAAAAAAAAGGGGGGGTTTTTGGAAAAAAAACCCCCCCTTTTTTAAATTTCCCCCCCTTTTTTTTTTTTTTAAAATTTTTTTTCCCTTTTTGGGGTTCCTTTTTAACCTTTTAAAAAAAATTTTTTAAAAAAAAATTTTTTTTTTTTTTTAAAATTTTAAAAGGGAAAAAAAAAACCCCGGGAAAACCCCCCAAAAATTTTTTTTTTTGGGGGGGGTTAAATTTTGGGGTTTTAAAAAATTTTTTCCTTTTTAAACCCCCCCGGGGGGAAAAAAAAAAAAAAAAGGGGGGGTTTTTAAAAAAAACCCCCCGGGGAAAGGGCCCCCCCGTTTTTTAAAAAATTTTTTTTTTGGCCCAAACCCAAAATAAAAAATTTTTAAAAAAAAAAAAATTTTTCCCCCCAAAACCCCCCCAAATTAAACCCCGGGGGGTTTTTGGGGCCCCGGGGTTTTTTTTTAAAAGGTTTTTTAAAAGGGGGGTTTTAAAAAAGGGGGGGAAAAAAAAAGGGGGCCGGAAGAAGGAAAGGGGGGGAAAAAAAGGGCCCAAATTTTTTTTCCCCCCAAAAATTTTAAAGGGGGGGAAAAAAAATTTTTTTAAAAAAATTTTTTAAATTTGGTTTTTAAAGGTTTGGGGCCCCCAAAAATTTTAAAAAAAAAGCCCCCGTTTTTTTTAATTTGTTTGGGGGGGGAACCCCCCCCCCCCAAAAAAAAATTTTTTGGGGGGGTTTTTCCCCCAAATTTTTTGGGGGGGGGGAAAAAATTTTTAAAAATTTAAAAATTTTTTCCTTTTCCCCAAAAAAAAACCCCAAAAAAAAAATTTGGGGGGGCTTTTTTTTAAAAAAAATTTTTTTAAAAATTTTCCCCCCCCCCTTTTTTAAAAAAACCCCCCCAAAAATTTTTTTTTATTTTTTTTTTTTCTTTTTTTTTTTTTTTTTTCTGAAAGAGGAAGGTCCAAAGGACCATTTTCCACCCAGAACTCATTTCATTAAATTTCACCAAACTTCTTCATTTTTCCACCTGTCCCTGGCCTTAACAACTTTTTTTCGTCTCTCTGAGACGATTCCATTGCCATACGCATTTTCAAAAAAATCGCATTTTGAAAAATATGCGTTTTTTGCTTTTAAATTATTATTAAAAATGTTGAAGAAGTTCGTCAAAATGTCAGCACTTGCATGGCAACGTCTATTTGAGTCTATTTGAATCTATTGGAGTTGTGTACGCGGCTTTTCTTGGCCCGTGTTGACTTCCATACAGCTGTTTCAAACTGCCCCATCGCTGTTTCAAACTGCCCCGGCCTGGGGCAGTTTGAAACAGATGCAAGGGTTGGAGTTTCACCTTATTATTAACTTTGAACGAACTTGTAAGCGTCTGCGGGCGTTTTCTAGTCTAGATAATGAGTCATTCTATTAATCTAGTGCAAACACGCAGCATATAGACCAACAGTACGATTATAATAACGAAATTCCAAATTCTGTTTCAAACTGCCCCACCCTCCCTTACTTGGCCAAGCATGCGTTTGTGAGTGTGTACTTGCAAGCATGCATTTGTAAGTGTGTACTTGGTAGACAGTTTTGTTTGTAGTGCAGTTTCTCCTGACACACTTTTGTTTGATGTTGTTGCTACCATGAGATCAACCGTGGGGCACTTGCAAGAGAGTATCTGAAGGTTGCTGAGTGAAGGGGTTTCTAAATTTAGTCTCCCTTTTCCCCGCGTGATACAGTGTAACACGGTGTGCGTTATCGCAGAATGACTGATCTAAAACAAGGCAACCCTGGCTGCGGTAGGTCCGCGTATGTGCACTGTGATGGGTCCACGCATGTGGACTCGATCAGCAGACAAGAAAAGACTCCAAAGTCTTAGGTTGCAATCAGCATAGGGGCGGTGGACCGGACCTGGCCGGGCCCGACGTCGCAAACAAGCGACCATGGATATCGGCATATGACTTCTTCAAACCTGGAGGGGGAGGTTGGACAAATTAAGACTCATCTTGAAATTTCCTCAACATCGATTTGCTCAACAGTTATAACCATTTTATAACAAAATTGATTGATTAGGGCGTTTAAACGAATCCCTGGACACGAAGTCAAAGAACTAATGTAAGAACTAAGACCACTTGCGCATGCGCAAACGTACCCCCTCCACTCTAATTTGGCGTCTGCGCATGCACAGAAGCGGTTTTTGTTCTTACTTTTTATCTTTGACTTCCGGTTCATGGATTCGTTAAAGACCCTGTTCTTTTAAGTGTACACCTTTCGTGGGGAGACCGGGGGGATTCCCGGTCAACTTTCAGAATCTTCGAGCATCCTAAAAGCAACAGTGTCTTCAACTGATGCAAGGATCCGACAGACAGACATAGTGCAAATTTGATATTTTTTATAAAGGAAGACCCTGGAAAGCACCAGTAGCGCTTACTCTTAGGGGAAATCCTGATCAAAATTCGGGCACCTCTGAATGTTGTTATTCTGAAAACTTAATCTGGTATTGATAGTTTCAGTTCTTCAGACTGTCAGGTGATTTTTTTTCAGCTCTCTGAGGTGCGTGAATTGTAATCAGGTTTACACGAGCGTATTGTTCTCAACACGAACATGACATGATTCACTTCAAATCGTGGTGGTCCCATTCCTCCACCTTCCCGACTTTAGATCCCGAGTTGATGTAGAGAGTCGGAACAACGTTCTTCTGATTTCTTGGGTTGCACAGCAACAGATACATGATCATGATGCACAACAAATCAACAGAAGACACCGTAGTGGCAAGTGTCCTGGCCACTTCAGTGGCTTGTTTCGAATGCCAAAATTTGGCGCTCCGGTGGCCTAGGACACGAAATTTTGGCATTCAAAACTAAGGGCAACTGAAGTGGCAAGCACACATTAATGGAATTGCAGTTAGGGCCCTAGGCTTTTAAGCGGGTAGTGGCACGTTGTGCACGTTCGTTTCATTTTTTTTGCATGTTTCTGCATGTTTCCGACATTCTGACAAAATTTAAGCGAGTTATAGCTATGCGTTTGAATGAAATACACCTGAACGTAGCCGATGCCTCTTGAAGCGAATGAGACACCTTTCGCGGAAAGTAGTATCTTTTTCCTAGAATGAGAGTGCAGTCCGTGTCGGACTTTCGGACTATCAGCGTATGGCCACTGCGATACCCTGGCCATCGATAAGACACTGGCTTATTTCCCCTTCTGCTTCTTGGAACTGTATAAATAGCGGCAGCTGCTGTTGCTGGGCTGCAATTGTTGGTGAGCATTGCCTGCGGGCCCGAAAACAACGCGGTAATTTTAAGTGGTTTTTTTTTTGTTTCGCTTTTCGATGACTGATACTCTACATGTGCGACGAAGTAATAAGTGTTGTCAGTGTTGACGTAAGCGTGAAGACTGTGGAGTTGTTTTCTTTCTTGGCTCAGTGAGCAGAAGGCCGTTGTGATACTGAAAATCGTTTTGAATTAAGGTGAGGTCTATGGGTGAAAATGGAAAATTGTATACCAATTGTCTGCTGAGGTGGGCAAAATTCAAGGGTGTTAATGGAATAAGTGGTAAACTAATCCACACCAAATTTCATTCCAATCTATCCACCAATTCACCCATAGAAGGCGGGGCGGTTTTTATGAAAAAAAAAGTGTGAAGTTAAAAAACAGCCACACAAAGTTTTTTCACGGAATGATCTTTGGGTTACCTAGAACCCTATACGCCAATGTAAAAAAGATATTTGAATATTAGCTTTTTGTTTGGGTAAACGATTTGAGAAAACGGCCAGTTGCTTGGAATATCTCTCTGATAATAGTTACATGGACCACAAATAACTACTCCAAAAAGTTGCGTCAGTCTAAAACAAAACTAAATGCGTGGTCAGTTGACGGAGTGGAAAAAATTTTTTGACGTTAATCGTAAGACATGGTAAACCGCCAAAGGCGCATACACTCTGCAAACTAAAGTGTGTACATAGTATGTACTCTACAAATCAAAGAGTGTACATAGTATGCTCTAACTGGAGCATGCGTGCAAGCACGCTCTAGCTAGCGCATGCCTGCCAAGCATGCACTAACTAGTGCATACATGCCATGTACACGCTTCCTGATGCAAAAAACTCCTTATCCCTTATGGAGTAAACGTCTCCTTCAGTTAGCGTGTACATGGCATGTATGCACTAGTTAGTGCATGCTTGGCAGGCACGCGCTAGTTAGAGCGTGCTTGCAGGCATGCTCCAGTTAGAGCGTACCATGTACACTCTTTGATTTGTAGAGTATACACGCTTGTTAACAGCATGCAACACACGCTCTGTATGAGTATGTTTTGCAAGTACACGCTAAAATCCAATCGATAAGTCCTATCTAAAAGGATGGACCAGTTCAAAAATGTACTAATTCTGTTGTGTTTTGAAATCTCACATTCAAAATCAACTCTTTAAATATTTTTGTGTGAGCGAAGAAAAGCGAAGCCTGTCACTCGGGTAAGGTTGGAAAGTTTTGTCTGTCTATATTATGTCCGGACTACTTACTCCTGAACGGCTCGGCCGATTCGGCTCAGATTCCGCAGGTCTATTGGATATGTCCTTGTGGCCGGTATTCACTGACATTCAGCTTCCTGTCACATCCCATTTAGTCATACCAACAAAAAACGAGATAAAAAAGACGGCAGAAGACAAATTTTCAGTGACTTAAAGTGGTTTTCTGGGCGGAGTGAACCATATAGATTCATCACAAATTAAAATTTGCTGTGCCACCAGACCGTCCGCCCTCTGCTGCCCAGCAAAATGAACCCATTTTCTGACACTTATTTCCTTAAATTTAAGTCGGCGTAGAGTGCTTTTGATGATACTTCGGTCAGTTTTGATACAAAATTTCACATGCGCCTCACCTTTGCTTTGCAGATGGAGCTAGTTACTGCATTGTTGGTTTTAGCGGCGCTGGCGATCGCCACACATTTTTACAATCGAAGACGAAAGTGGGTGCAGTCCGTGGACCTGATCCCTGGCCCTCCAGCTTTGCCGATTATAGGCAACTCCTGGGAGATCTTATGGACGTTCAAAACCGGTAAGTCCGTCAGGAAAAGTCAAAACTATAAAATTCGCACAGTGAAAATATTCTATATTGCAGTAAAAATTCCCTATATTACGGAGTTGCAGCTGGCTTTACAACATACCTTTGAGGATTCACTGTACCTTTAAGATATTTTGACGAATGTCGTTTGTATTGTGGAGGAAATATTCACCGTAATATGCCTTACAACGTAATAAATTTAGAGTGATCGTTCAGTGCAACATTTTAGCATCGTGGTATTCCAGTGTGAGTTAAGTCCTTTTAACAGCGTTGTCCTGACTCCACTGCAGATCAGACAGAGGCGATCAGCAATTGGACGAGGAAATACGGCAGCATATACCGCCTCTGGCTCGGACTTGGGCATGCCGTTGTTGTGCTCAACAACCCGGAGGATGTTGAGGTACTGGAAAATATGTGGCTCTAGCTCAGCCTCTAGTTGCAAATGCGGTGACAGCAATTGGTTTTTAAATGCATTTTTCATCTTTGTTATGCCGCAGATTCTTCTGAGTGGCTCTAAGCACATTGAAAAGTCGAACGTGTACCGTCATTTGCATCCCTGGCTTGGAGAAGGACTTCTCACCAGCAAAGGTACGCTCAATGAAGACACGATTGAAGCATCAAAAAGCTACCAAGTAAAACATCATTGACGGTGCATTCCAGGTCAAAAGTGGCACATGAGAAGAAAATTAATAACACCAACTTTCCACTTCCGTATTTTGGATCAATTCGTGCAAGTGTTCGACAGTAACGGCAATATTCTGGTCGAGAAACTGTTATCTACGAATGGCAAGACAATCAACATCCACGATTTCATCACCCTATGCACGCTTGACATCATATGTGGTGAGCAGCGCAAGTCTTTTTTTTTTTTTTTCAGTAGAAGTGGTTGTGGTTGTATGTACCTTGGTACCATGTTGTTCAAAGAATGTGAAGTGAAGTCATATTCGTTGTAATGTGAATCTTGTCACATTCTTCTACATACGATGTCCCAATCGTTGGAACGTGACACGGTCGTCTAATTAGTGTGTCAAATTCGTTTGAACGTGGATCAACCTGCAAACGATTGTGGCATCATACTTAAACGTAACAGCATTATTCACATTAAGACATTGACATCGCATTTGTTGAATAACAGTGTAATCATGCCCCTGTAACAGTAAGAAGTTTCGCCGTTTTGCAGTTATTGGTGATACCGATGATGTTTTCATGATTTTTTTTTCCAGAAACTGCCATGGGGACTAAAGTGAACGCACAACAGGACTCCAAGTCGCCGTACGTTTCTGCCGTCAGCGAGTAAGTTCATGCCGTATTCGTGCCAGTGAACGCGCTGAGTCTTTGAAACCCACGAGTACCGTTCGTGCCTGACCAACTCTTAGCACAGCACGTTGACGTTTTGCTCATTTTGTCAGTAGTTGCACAAGTCAGCATAAGTCAGTTCCACACTGGTAGCCAACGAATGTGACGTCATATTCGTTGGAGTGTAAATTTTGTCACGTTCGTTTAGATATGATGTCACACTCGTTTGAACGTGACTCGGCCGTTAAAGTAGGGTGTCACATTCGTTTGAATGTGGATCAACATTTAAACGAATGTGACATCATGTTCAATCGAACGTGACGAAATTCACATTCGAACGAATATGACGTCACATTCGTTGGCTACCAGCACTCTCAGCCGTTCACTATTTCTCGTTAGCAGACGTATTTCTGAAAGCAACCATAATACTTAGTATTAGGTTGTTAAATACTTTAAAATTTCTTTGTAATTTACTAAGAAAACGGTAATATCAGTTCAGTAATTAGCAATTGCTAAGTAATACTGACAAAAAATACTAAGTTTTATGGTTGCTTACAGAAATGCGTAAGCTAATGAGAAAAAGTCAGTAAAAGGCTGAGAGTGAGTGCACTCTCCAAATCCAAGTCTGGGTCTGGGCGAGGGGTGAATTACTAGTGTACTCATGTGTACAAATTTGCCCGTACTTAGTGTACTCACAAGATTTAAAAAGGTGAAATTCTCTAGTTTTTCGACTGATTTAACGTTGACTGCCGTTAAAAACGCTAAATAATGCCTTAAAACGTTTAAAATTGTGAAATTTATGAGTAAAGCAAGGTGTACTCACCCGTACTCATGTACTCATGTGTACACCAGAACGCCGAGTGATTCACCCCTCGGGTCTGGGTCAGTCTCACACTATTTAGCTTGAATCAAGGGGAACAACTGCAGCCAACTCTGTACATCACTATTCCCCCAAATTTTAAAAATTACTGGAATCCATCGAAGTACTTCTCAAAATTGGTCAACTTCATAAAAAATAGGAACAAAATTTTGCAGTTTCTTAACAATCTTTCGTCTCCCTATCAATGTAATAGAAGTTTAGCCAGTCAATCATGTTCACAAAAACCATTACCAAACAACTAAGTTTTATTTTCAGTTTTATTCGGTATTTCTGTTTTGCAGTGCACTCCTCTCAGTCCACATGCGAACCATGCAGCCATGGCTTGGCAACGACTGGTTGTATAACAGAACGGAGGGAAGCAAGACCTTAAACGCCGCTCTTAAAGTTCTGCACAAATATTCTCGAGAGGTGAGTTCTTATGCCTTGGGTAAAGCAAATGGCGGATCTGCTGGTGGAGCTTGGAACCATCGTGGCCATTCACATGAGCTGACATCCACTTTTATCCATGGCACTGATGGTTAGGATTGTCTTGGACCTGCACACTGTTATTGGCTGAGCGATAGCGAAGCCTGTTACTCAGGTGGGGTTGAAATTTTTTTCCTGTCTGCGTGCGTGCGTGCGTGTGTGTGTGTGTGTGTGTCCGCGCTACTCCTCCTGAACGGCTCGGCCGATCTCGGTGAGATTTTGCACACTTTTTGGGTATGTCCTTGGCTCGGCACACGCGAAATTTCACTATCCTAGCTCAACTGGTTCGGTTTTTTATAGCCGAAAAACACCTAAAACGGCGAAAAATCGAGTTTTCTGCAGGCAGATCACACTGTTAGAAATTCTGTCGTAAATTAGCGACAAAAAAGTCGCTAATTTTCATAGCGACGGAAATCGTTCTTAAGCTATTTCGTCGATACTAAACGACTAAAAAATCATTTCTCTACGACAATGTCGTAATCACGATTACATATTTTGACACCTAAAATCCACGAAAAGTTGGTGAAAAGTTACAATTTGGTCACTTATTTACGATTTGTGTCGTTCATTTACGATTCACAACACGAATTTACGACAAGAGTCGTAAATGTACGACTGAAGTCATAACTGCACGACATATTCGAAGGATAATTTACGATTGTTCGTAGACTTACGATTAAGTCGTAAGTTTACGACTTAATTTGTTTTAAAACGAAACGTGTCGCTATCAAAATTAGCGACAAATATGTCGTACATTTACAATTCAAGTCGTATATTTACGACTTCAGTCGTAACAAAATATGTCGTTTAAAAACGACATAATTGTTCTACAAAATGTCGTAAATTTACGATTATTTTTAACAGTGCACTTCTGTCTTGAAGAAAGGGGGGTCTGGGGGGCGGAGCTCCCCAGCCTCGACAAGTTAAAAAGTCAGGCCAATGCAGCCCAAGGCACGAAATCAAATGCTGTTTTGACCTTCAATCACGCAAATTGGTATGCGGATGCCTGGAAAAGAAACCTAGCCTGCCGAAGGCAGGCAAGCGCCGCAGGCCAAGGTAGGTGTAACGCCAGGCGTGGATTGTCGTAACTGGCGCAGCATCGCGAAGCCTGTTACGACAAGACACGGTCTGGCGTACACCTACCTTGTCTAAGTTGCGATACTTTCAACACAAAAACGTGCGATGATATCCGAAATGTGATTCCCACGAATCATTGCTCCTGAGATGCAATGACTTCTGTATCGCACAAAATTCTGCAATGATCATCGCATCTTTCTGCAATGAGGATCGAAATTATTGCAAAAAACTGTGATGATGACAACACAAAATCTGTTATCATTGCAGTTTTTTGCAATGATCATTACAAAATTCTGCGATACTGTAGCTCATCACACCTTTTAGCAATGATCATCACAGAAAAGTGCTGTGAAATTTGTATTGCGCAGAAAGTGCGGTCTGTATCGCAAGTCAAATAACAGTGCACTGACAGTTAGGATTTTTCTATTAGGAGCGTCGTCTTTGTCTTATCCTCTTTTGCTTCATTGAGCATCGAGGGTAAAATATTAATTTTTTCCAATACCGTTTAAGAAGCACCTCATTTTCCTGTTCATAGATCGCAGTGTTAAAAGTGAAATTAATTGTGCCACAGCTCCTTAGGAAGGTAATAAATTTGCGCACCTTGAGTGATCCCCGGTATCTTGATAGTATGTAGGCTGCAAACCTCTCATTGTCACCCCTCTTGAGTTAGTTCCGATCTGATTCTTGATTTGGGTTCCTTCTTACAGTAGTTTCATTGGCTGAGCGATAGCGAAGCCTGTTACTCCAGTGGGGTTGAAAAGTTTTTCCTGTCTGTCTGTCTGTCTGTCTGTCCGTCTGTCTGTCTGTGTGTCCGCACTACTCCTCCTGAACGGCTCGGCCGATCTCGGTGAGATTTTGCACACTTCTTGGGTATGTCCTTGGCTCGGCACACGCGAAATTTCACCATCCTAGCTCAACTGGTTCAGTTTTTATAGCCGAAAAACACCTAAAAAACGGCGAAAAATAGAGCTTTCTGCAGATAGATCACACTCTAGAGTTCTTACGGATAAGTCATCACCGTAAGCTACGGACAAAATTGATTCATTGTAATTACGGATGGGCTTGTCCATATTACGGAGTTTGACATCTGTATTACGGATAAAAAGCATCTTCAGGTTTTGAGAATTTCTGTACGGACAAAATTATCCGTAAATACAAACACAACTATTGATCCATAATTACGGCTACTAAACCCATCCGTATTATCAACTCAACTTGTCCGTAATCCTGATCTGAACCTACCAATCCATATTAACATCAACTTAACTTCAATATGAAGACTAATAAGGTGCAATATAGTTTCATTAGTTTTCAAACTAAGAATAGTACTTTTCCTGTATATTGCATCATTCACCTATTGATTATCCAAACTAAAATCTTCTAAGTGCCATTTTGGCCGTAGTCCAACAGTTATTAAATGACACTCTAAGAAACCTAACCTAACATTTTTATTGAAGAAAGAATTGAAATATAAACAAAAGTATTGTTATATTTATAAATGAATGTTGTTGGGAAGCAGAGAATTTACCTGTGATAATAAAAGCACCCCCAACGTCTCCAATCCTCCACAGCAGATAAGTGTGTGTTAACATGACTGACAGCCGTCCAGTTTTCGCAGACACAAGCATCACTTCTCAAAGAATAAGTGAATTAATAACTTTTATGAACCAGAAACTTGCAAATCATCGTAGTTTCTGATTTTAAACCAAACTAAACGAGGTTAATCTACACAGAAACAAAGGGGTGATTGTGAATGTTGGATTTCTCATACTTTCACGTATGAAAAGTTTAGCGGGACGGTGTTTAGAAAAAATGAAAACACTCCGCTCCGCTGTTTGTGCTGCCGATTTTAGGCACAATTAAGGCCTTCACAATTGGTGTCAGCGATGGTGTCTCACCCCAAAGTCCATCAAGGATGGCATTGTTTGCAAACACTGAAGAAGTCAGTGCATGTGATTTTTGTTGTCACTCGGTTCTTCCAGCATACGGTATCAGATCAGCAGACAGTATAACCTCACCAGCGCACCAACTTCAAAAGAAAACATTTACAGTATAGCTTGAGTATGGTAGAATGTTTTGTGGAACTGCCCACAATAACTGGTTGGTTAGATTGAACAGTTGCTCAGTATGATTATTGAAATGCTGTGATTTCATAATCAACACCAAATTTGGGCGGTAAGTACATCTTTTTCTGCTGTGGCCCTGCTCCACCGTTACCCAAGAGTGTCTATCGTATCAGCAAGTAACTCAATCAATAGCTCTATTATGTGCCAAATAAAAGTAAAAGTGCTTGCTAGTGCATAAAAAAGATAATTGGCATTAAAAAGTATAATATACTGCTTATCTGTTTCCGCTCAGTATGGCAACGAGTAATTTATGAATTCTGTTTGTATAACGAGTGTCGATGAATGCAATTACTTTGGATTCTGTAAGACTATCCGTAGTTACAAAGCTACATCTGTTACGGACAAAGCCATCCGTATGTTACAAATCAGGCTATCCGTATTACGCTTGCGCAAAAATGTTTGTAAGGTACGGATGAATTTGTTTGTAATACGGATGAAGTAATCCGTAAGAACTCTAGAGTGCACTTCTGGATTGGAGCAAGGGGGGTCAACACCTCGACAAGTTGAAAAGTGACAAGGGTGAAGATCGTGTTATCTGTAGATAAAACAAACTAATTAGAATGTAGGGGGGTCTGGGGGGCGGAGCCCCTTAGCATTCAACAAGTTAAAAAATAACCGACAATGGACAAGCCATTGCCTGCCGCAGGCAGGCTAGCGCCGCAGGCCAAGGTAGGTACGCCAGGCGTGGATTGGAGGAACAGGCAGCGAGACATCGCGAAGCCTGTTACGACAAGACGCGGTCTGGCGTAAACCTACCTTGTAGCTAAAGGGTCTAGTCAAGTGCACAACTGTTACCACTGACAAACCGACTGAAAATAATCAGCAATTATTTAAAAAAAAAACACTTTGGTGCTAAAGCCACTTTATTTGGGCTTTAAAACATTTTTAGAATTTTTTGATTTGTATTATGTATTAAATAGCAATTATCTATAGGCGAAAAAGTTCTGCACTTGACTAGGTTTTGTCCTGACGAGAACCTCCAAACACGAAAATGGCGGAGCTAGTAAAAAATATTATGACAGTCTAACGACGACCAAAATCATTCCCTCAAATTATCAAGACATTTTAGATCGCGAAAATAAAAATTGACGTACAAAAACAGATTGTTTGTGCAGATATTGTGTCTTCAGAAGAGACTGCGAGTTGGGGCCGTCAGGTTGGCAATGCTACTCGGTCCCAGGTAGCCCCGCTCTTTCGTATTTAATGGACTTTCCGAAGCACAAATTTCTCTTGCTCTTTTAGGAATAACCCCATACAAGGTAGGTTTACGCCAGACCGCGTCTTGTCGTAACAGGCTTCGCGATGTCTCGCTGCCTGTTCCTCCAATCCACGCCTGGCGTACCTACCTTGGCCTGCGGCGCTAGCCTGCCTGCGGCAGGCAATGGCTTGTCCGTTGTCGGTTATTTTTTGACTTGTTGAACGATGGGGGGCTCCGCCCCCCAGACCCCCCTACATTCTAAATAGAGTTGTTTTACCTACGGACAACACGATCTTGACCCTTGTCACTTTTCAACTTGTCGTACCTGGGGGGCTCCCCCCCCCGCCCCCCCTTTTCTCAAAGACAGAAGTGGTCTATCTGCAGAAATCTCTATTTTTCGCCGTTTTTTAGGTGTTTTTCGCCTATAAAAACTGAACCAGTTGAGCTAGGATGGTAAAATTTTTCGCGTGTGCCGAGCCAAGGACATACCCAAGAAGTGTGCAAAATCTCACCGAGATCGGCCGAGCCGTTCAGGAGGAGTA